GCAGGCCCCCCGACAAGCGCGAGTGGCCCCAGCGGGGCTGAGATCACAGAGGCGCCAGCCTCCGGCGAGAGCGCCGACGGCGCCTCCGAGCCCGGGGGGGGCTCGGGTGGGTCTAGCTCTGAGGGCTCCGGCGAGGAGGGGAGCTCGGATGAGTCGAGCTCAGAATCGGAGGACGACGACGATCGCGAGCTGGTGGAAGAGTCGCCGATGGAGGAGAGCCCCCCCCGCCGCCCCCCCACCTCAGACAGCTCCCCGAGCCCTTGACCACCGCTCGGCGGTCCATCGCAGGAGGCGCCAGCTTTGTTGGACGGGGGCGACAGCGAGCAGTAATTCGAGGCGGCGTAACTCGGCCTAGGTCGAATGCGAATAGTTTCGCACCGTGAACGCACCAACCATCCGCCACGCGCGAAAGACCGGGGCGATGCACCTTCTGAGTCTGTACTTTTCTCCTCGTGTTGCTTTGTACTTCACCCTTGCGCTTGTGTCCCCCGTGCGGGTCGTACTACAGGACGCGCGTTTGGGCAACGACTTGTGTGAACACACGCGATATACACACATTTACTCTCTCGCTACATTCAAATGAGTTCCGCACACGCACAGCGCTGCGCGCTGCGGGGGCCCCCATGACCCGCACCCGCCACCTCCGGCGCTCCGCCCGACCCTCCGTTCACGGCTATGCTAGAATGCTTAAAGCCGTACGTACCCAGAGGAACCCAGTACGACTTTTTTTTGCGACTAGAGAGAAGGTATAATATAAAGGGTTAGTCAAGGTAAACCAATTATAAATTTCTCTTGCGACTAGTCGCCCCCCGCGCCGCCCCGCTTTCGAGTCCACAGCCAATCGACAGGACTTTTGCATCTCACGCCGCCCGTGCTGCGGTGTGCGCGCACAGCTCTTGAGCGCTCGCTATCTATGGATGGCCGTCTGGCGCGGGCGGGTGGGGGTGGGTGCGTGCGATATCCCTCTTTGTCGTGTACGTACGGTACGTACTTCTGTCGTCTGTGCACACGGTCATTCTCTTCTTGTCGTACGTCAAGTCTCGCATCGCTCATTTCACAAATGGGCGCAACTACGCCATAAGAACGTCCGAGTAGCAAGCGCACATTCGCCTATATCAAAGGTAGCTCGCCGAAACGGCCGGTCCCTTTTATCCAACCGAGTTTGTTGGCGCTAGCGCTCCAAGTTTGTCAAGAGGGCGCACGGCCAGGCGGAGCGGCGGACCATGCTCGGCCTGCTGCTGCCGTTGGCCGCGCCGGCACAGGTGAGGCACGCAGCATGGTTCGACCATGGGCTGTTCTCCGCCTGCGAGGGAGGGTCGTACCCAAAGGGACTGCTCATCGACTTGAACAAGGAGAGGAGTGACGGCGGCGCGACAGTAAACAACCTCGGCGGCTACAAGGGCGTTGATGCTGGGGCGTGCGCCCCAATCTCCGCCGAGACGTTCACCCCAGGCGAGTGCGGCAGCTGCGGCTGCGGCTGCCCCGATTGCGGCCCCCCCTCCAGTGATCCAAAAGAGATGGTGCTCGGCCGAGTCGTACACGTCTTTGATGGCAGTGGGCTGAGCCCGAGTCAGGAGCTAGACCTGGTCATCACAAACATGACCACGTACATGCCGTGGACTTCAGCGGCCAACCGCGCGGTTGGCACCTTTGGCGAGATCAGCGTGGC